CGAGGCAGGATAGTAAGAAGTTAGGAAAAGTCCTTGGCAAGCGGAATGGGGAAACCGAGGCAAACGGCTGAACAAACTGGCTGAGCAGTTGGCAGCCAGGTGCAGATGGTCACCACGGCGGAAGTGCCCGGCACGGGGCAAACCTGGGGAGACAAGGACTTCGGCCTCTCTTCCCGAGGTCCCGAGGGCTTTCTTCCCTGCAGATACCATCTAGGCCCGAGTCACGAACCAGACATATGACTCCGCGCTAACCTAGGGACCAGCTGCATGGAACAATGACCCCTGCCCTGGCGCCGGCCGACTGTGAAGCCACGCCCTCGAGGGGACACACCTGGGGAGCTGATGCATACGCTACTGAGCGCCTCCCCAAAGACCTCCACCCTTAGAAGCTTTTACGATGAAGGGCCCACCGATCTGACTCTCTCCCCCTCCCCGGAGCATTCCCCTGCATTTCCTTCCTCCCCTTTCTCCCCCTCCTCACACATGCACCTCCTCAACTCTGGGGGACCCCAGGAGCCTTGTAACGGGGGCAGAATGGGCAGCGACAGCTTGTCCTGGGCAGATCCCCTGAACCTGCCCCAAAGCCCCCCTGTTCTCTGACATCCCAGGGAGCTGGAGCAGCCCACCTAGGCTCATTTCTACGCACCCCCTGCTGCTGCTTCTGTGCTGGGCCCTTCCTCGTCTCCCTGTTCCGGCTTTAATAAACACACCCGCGTAGTCACCTGGGCTCCTGTTGGGACATCTTTCCCACACAAAGTCAAAAACCCACACACTGCCAACCAGCCCTGGGCAGACCCGCTCAGGGCCCGGCCTCCTTCCGGTAACCTTTCCATGGCAGAAAGCAAGGCCATGTTCAGAAAGCCCCAGGGATATGTCAAAAGGACCCAGAGGCCAGCCTAGTGGGCGCCCACTGGCGGATCAGGGGCAATTTGATGATCAGAATAATAGTAGTGGCAATTACAACCCATTGACGAATACGGGAGACTGTAGTTTATATAAATATAAATACATGAATAAGTTAAGTGTGTAAGGAACAGAATATTTACATAGTTTCAAAGTACCTCACTGCAAAATACTATTAGTTACAAAGGTGAGAAGAATAACTCGATAGTGGAGCAGCATTTGACTGGGCCAGCGGGCGCCTCTTCGAAGTGGCTTCCGTGTCCTTTCCCTGCGCACCGGTCATTCTTCAAACATGTCTTGACTGTCTGTCAGAACAAGATGTTTCGATCCAGCAAGATGTCTCATGCCCAGCTCTGGAACTGGCCGTTTTTTTTTTTTTCAAATGCCGTTTTAATCTGGTGATCAGAGTGGCCACAGTCAGCCGCCACCGTGCGCCATCTGATAAGGTGCAGGAAGAACATTCAGTGCTTCCCGTGGCGGGCTCGCCAACAATGCATGACTCAGACCTGGCGGTGGGGAAACAAGTGGAGAGACAAACTCAAACGGAAAGAAGTTCTAAAAAAAAAACGGCCTGTAACTTTCCAAGCGTCGAGCCCCAGGGCGGCCAAGGCTGCAGAACAGTTCGCTGCAGACAAGCGGTAGGGCGCCGGGCAGGAGGCCGTGGTGTGGGAGAGGGCGCCCGGGAGCCCCCAGGGCTGCGGTGGGGGAGGGGGCTCCAAAGGCCGTGAGACCCACGAGAAGGGAGGAGGGTGGTGGTGCTGCAGGGCCTGCTGGGAGGGGGGAAGGGCGGTCTAGAAAGTCCCGGGAACCCTGTGGAAGGAAGCATGTGGGATGTGGGGAGACGGCCTGAGGGAGAAGTGGGTGCCGTTTTCACGACGGGCACGGAGCCTCGTGGGTGGAGGGCAGGCCGGGCTGGCAGCGGGCCCTGCGGCCAGGGGCAGGCCTGGGGTGTGCAGGCGTAGCAGGGTTGTCACTGCGGAGCAGGGAGGGAGGGACCTCGGGGTGAGCTGCGGTGGAGAGCAGCCCTCTGGGCCCACCCCTGCCACACGGAGAGGACCTGGGGGCAGGCCTGGAGGACCCACAGAAGCCTGAGTTCCGGCTAGGCCTGGCTCACGGGCCACGTGACCTGCTGTGCTCAGCCGAGAGTGAGTTAGCCAGGCCACGGCCGGCCGTCTCAGCACCTACCGGCAGGTGGACATTCAACCTGGAGAAGGTGAGAATGCACCTTCCTCACTTGGGGACACAGCTTGGCCAAGGACCAATTCTGCAAGTCATCAACAGGGGGCGCTGGTGACAGCCCGAGGGCTGGGGAGCCCTCCCTGGCTGCTTCTGCTGGAGAAAAGCGCCATTACCAAGCATGATACTGCAGAGACACTTCACCTGGATTAAATATATGTATTATTTTAAAGTCTGGCCCTGCCTGGTGTGGCTCAGGGGATTGAGCACCGGCCTGCGAAATGAAGGGTCACTGGTTCGGTTCCCAGTCAGGGCACATGCCTGGGTTGTGGGCCAGGTCCCCAGTGGGGAGGGAGGAGAGAGGCAACCACACATTGATGTTTCTCTCCCTCTCTATCTCCTTCCCTTCCCCTCACTAAAAATAAATAGCCTGGATAGCTCAGTCAGTAGAGCATTAGACTTTTAATCTGAGGGTCCAGGGTTCAAGTCCCTGTTCAGGAGTCCTCTTTTAGTATTGCAGGTTTGATTCCCAGCAAGGGTACATGCCTGGGTTGCAGGCCACGGTCCCCAGCAACCGCACATTGATGTTTCTCTCTCTCTCTATCTCCCTCCCTTCCCTCTCTAAAAATAAACAAATAAGTAAATAAAAATCTTAAATATAAACAAATAAATAAAATCTTAAAAAAATACATAAATAAAAAACGTCTGGAAGCAACCTGAGTGTCCACCAATGGATGAGTGGGTCTGCGAAATGCGGTGCGCCCACACAAAGGGCTGTAGTCAGCCTCGGGAAGGGGGACACCCTGAGCCCCGCTCCAGCGTGGGTGAGTCCGGGGGACAGGATGGCCGTGCGGCGGGCCGGTTACAGTAAGACGCACACCGTGGGATTCCATGGATGTGGGGTCCCGAGAGGAGCGGGATCACGGGGGGGCGGGAAATAGCCCAAGCTTGCCCAGGGGGCTCGCAGCCTCAGTGTGGCAGGGTGAGAGGTTTCGGAGTCCGGGTGCACACCCCGGTGAATATACCTGACACCTGAACTGGACATTTAGGAATGGTGAAGACAGTGCATTTTATGTTGTATATTTTTACCACAACAAACATTTCTCCTCTGACCTAATAATCCTCGGTTAAAAGTGGAATTCATGTTGGGGAGATGACCTGAGTTTACGTTAAAGATACCTGCATGAAAATATTAACTGCAGCATCCTTTTAAGTAAACAAAAAGTAGGAACTATGTCTTGAATCATGAGCAAACTCGGGGTAGCCTCATTCTAGCGGATTCCACGCAATCATTACAAAATGCTAGTTGGACACGGCTTCCGCTTCACCTGGACCTGGGCACCAGGGGGCGCCCCGGGAAGCTGTGAACTCCAGAGAGGTGGTTGGGGACCTCACCCGCGGGGAGCGGGCACTCTGCCTCCTGCTCCTGCTGGGGGGACCCGCACAGAGATGGGTGACAGAGAACCGAGGGAGGCTGTTCTTGGGGGACGGGAATCTCTTCTCCCAACCAGCTGGAGGCCGGGGAGGCGCCACCGTGAGGTGGAGAATTCCCAGGCCTCCATGCGGCTGTGGGCGCCGCCTGTGCCAAAACAGGGATCTGCTTCAAAGTGGGGTGCTCTGCCGGGGGCCGTCCTGTGGGGTGAAATCGGACGGACCGAAGGCGATGGGCCGTGTTGTCTCCCTGAGCTGAGGCTGGGACTTGCAAGGACCTGTCCGAGAAGCCCCAGGACACTGGAAGGGAGTGGCACTTGGCTGCCCTCCCGCTCCTGCACTCTGCACTCATAGTTGGAAAGCCCGGGCCTCCTCCCGCCCCAGGCGGTGGTGATTCAGAAGAGCCTTGGCCCCGCTCTGCTGAGACCTGGAGAGCCAGGGGCGGGACTCCGTAGCTGGAAGCTTCTACGGCCTTGCTGCCAAACCCACGAGTTTCTCCAGGTCCCCCCTCTTGGCATAAACTGTCCCGCCCCAAGTCTGGGGGCCCCAGGTCCGGTGCCTGCACCCCGGCTATGAGGAGGCCGGGGAGAGCCCTGGCTGGTGCAGCTCAGTGGACTGAGCGCGGGCCTGCGAACCTCAGGTGGCCGGGGAGCGAGGGCTCTGGCGTGGGCAGCAGCTCCTGCAGGCTCTGCTTCCAGCCGGTGGTCTGCTACGCACAGGGCGGCGACTCGTTTGTGAAGGAGCAGGAAAAGAGGAAAGGGGGTTCCCACTCTGGCCCACACGCCCAGCTCCCCCACGGCATGTTCACGTGGCTTTTCACACTTTACTTAAACGTGTGCCTGCTCTTGTCTGATTTAATGCAACCCTCCCGCATACGAAAACATGGGCCGCCCCTCCCCCGCAAGGGACACACCAAAGCCTATCAGTGTGGCCACTGCCAAGTTCAGGGTCTCTCGGCGATGCCCAGTCCTGCTCTGGCGAAAATGGCTCCAACCGCCTACAGCAGGTCGAGGCCCTGACCCAACACCCAACCTCGGCGACTTCCTCAAGACAGATTTGTGGGCGGGGAGCACTGGAGAGGTGACCAGTCGCTCACTGGCGGTGATTCTAACCCTCACTTTTAATTCATTTCTCCTCTATTCCTGTGTTTTATGGTCTTCTTAGCCAAAAGAGAATAGTATTGTACCCCAAAAGCGGTGTTCCCTGAAAAGACATGGAGAGATGGAAGGTGGAGGAGGGGCCAGGGTTTGATGAGCGACCACAGGACTGACCGACTGAATGGACGCCCCTCCCACAGTCCTCCCTGGGGTCCGGTCTAGGGTGGGCGCTCAGCAAACGGCCAGAACGGATCACCAGCCCACCCACGCCCTTCCTTCTCCAGGTGTCCCCTGGTCAGGTGATGAGCACCAAGTGGTGGCAAATCAGTGTTGAGTTCCTTGGTGAAGGTGGCAGTGCGGCCTTGGAGAAATGATCAGCTTCCGAGACTAGGATCAGTTCACAAAAGCATTTTATTAATCAGCCCGCTCATCCCAGATAAATAACTGCTGCCCAGAGCTTTCTGGGAGCCAGGAGCCTGCTCCCTGGGCCCCCCCCCCACTCAGGAACCGGGGTCTGCAGGGCCTCAGTGGAGTCCCTGCTGCTGGAAGTACGAGTGGCAGGCGGACGTGATGGCCGCCACGAACACTATGAACTCGTTGAAGTCCACCGTGGCGTCTCCGTTGGCGTCCAGGTCCTTGAGCAGTTTGTCCACGGCCTCCTTGTCCCTTCCGCTCTAGAGGAGACAGGGCGCCAAGGTCAGCGATGAGAGTGCTGCTGCGGGGCGCCCCGGCCCCAGCCAAGCCCCGCCCCCCAGGCGGAGGACGGGAAACCGAGTCCATGCTCCCGCGCGCAGCAGACACGCGGCCCCTGGAAAGGAGACTGGGGCTCTGGGAGGCGGGGACCTGCCCTGACGCGTTTGAGGGGATTGTCTTTGGGCCGCACACCGTGCTCCACCCTGAGGGTGCCGGAGAACGCGCTCTAGCCCTGCTCCGAGTTCAGGTGGCTCTGTGGGCGCCGCCCTGGCAGGTGTGGCTCAGGACGCGGTCAGGGCATAAGAGAGACCAATTGGCCCTGCCCGAGACATCGGGGAGAAGAGAGAATCTGGGGTTCACGCAGGGTCCCTGCCCTCTCCGGCCTGGGCCCCAAGGCCCCAGGTCCTCTTTCAGAGGGCGGGGCGGGGGTGGGGGTCTCAGAGAGCCTGCTCAGGTGACACCAACTTCAGGGAGGGGGCCAGCACGGTCACGGTGCAGATCCCAGCAGGCAACAGCAGGGGGCGCTGACGACCCAGCCCCGCACCGGCCAATCCTAAAGCCACCACTTTGCTGTGCGGCCCGCAGGGCCCGACAGCCACCCGGGGTTTATGAAGCTCCGACTGCGCGTCGGGGGACCGCCACAGCGGGCCCTGCTGGTGCAACCCAGCCCCCGGCCGTCATCAGGTTGCCCCGGGATTCCGCAGTAACCCAAGCCTGAGAGTCCTGGCTTAGCTGCCGGTTCTCCAACTGTGCTCCCAGGACCCCCTGCGCGGGGCGGGGCGTGCAGCGAGCATGGACATCAAGTTCAAAGGGAAATGAAACTGCACGTAAATTAGAAATTGGTTCACACCAACTTTCCCGTGGAAAGCGGCTGCGTGTACGAGGATTTCCTCCCTCCACATTTTTGTCGTTTTACATTTCCTGCCAGACGTGTCGATGATAGAGAGAGGCAGGTGAACTTCAGTTTTAAAAATGTCTCTCTCTGTTGCATTCACATCTGGAGGGAGAGAAACCTAGTGTACTGAAGCGCTGGGTGGCTTTAAGGGACGCTCCAGGCTCTACGTTTCAGGCTGCCGCGTCGAAGAATCGGTATCAGCCCAGACCCTTAGGGGGCAGCCAGGCAGAGCCTGGGAGAGGCAGGGGAGGAAGAGAATTGGGGGGGGGCGGCGGACCCTCGGTTTAAGCCCCCTGGGGAGGCTCCCTTGTCAGGCCCCCAGAAGGTGGGCTCTGGACGGACAGGTACCAGGATGGGACTCCTCCCCGTTGTATTGCTTTCAGTGTCACGGACGCCAGGCCCCCGGGGACCTGGGGGTGGGGGGAGGGAGGTGAGCAAGCAGCCAGTGGACAGGGCTGTTTGTGGCCAGAAGCCTTGGACAGGGACAGTCCTGAGGGACCAGCAACCCCCCCCCACCCTCAGAGATGGCCCTGGATTTGACCCCTGTGCCCCCGCCCCCCCCACCACCACCACTCAGGTCCCATCCCGGCGGGGCCATGGGGCCCCAGAAGAGGAAGGATGCTGGTCACAAGTCCGTTGCCGCCCCAACTCTTGCAAAGGTTGTCCCCTTCCTGCTCACGAGTCCAGGGTCCCTGGCCTGGGGCAGCAGGTCCGGCCCCCAGCATCCCTCAGTGGCTGGAGCGGCTGGGTCTTGATGGTTTCTGCCCCTGCTCCCAGGATCTCCCCGCCCCACCCCCACACCCCCAGCAGGCCCCTTCGTCGGGTGGGGCCCCTCATTCTGCCCCGGGGCCCGCGACTCGCCTGCAGGAAGCCCGGCAGCTCCTTCTCCAGCAGCACCTTCATCTCGCCCTTGCTGAGGCTCCGCGCGTTGCCGTCCGCGCCCGCGTACTGCGAGAAGACCTCGATGATCAGGGCCATGGCCGTCTCCAGTCGCGACATGGTGCTGGCTGCGGGTGTGCGTTCCTCGGGGGCGCTGGTGTGGCTGAGGAAATGGCCCAGGGGCGTCCTCTTGGCCCTTTATAAAGCCCGGCTTCCTGTTGACACAGAGGGTGGGACCAGCCCGGCTGGGCTGCCCCGCGAACCCGCCCTTCCCCCCGTCCCCCCCGCCCCCTCCTCCCCGGACCGCATTACTCAGTGCCGGAGAAATGCATCCTCGTAACTTCCTGGTGCCCTGATCTGGGACCCCTCCCCGCTCTGTACGCCCCCCCCCCCGCCCGCCAGGCCCAGGTACAGCCCCCCACCCCCACTTTACTGTGCTTTCCTGGGTCTTGGGGTCGTCACCGAATGACAATGCTGACCCCCGCCCTGGGGGACAAGCCGGGTCTCCGGGGCAAGTGCGTGCCCGGGCGTGTTTGCTGAGTACTGAAGGGGCGGGCCTGCGCTTGGGCCCCTGTCCGTCCCTGCGGCTATCAGGTGGGCCTGGCGCTGCGCCCGGCGGGCGGACAGAGGGAACCGTTGTGTGAACCGACCTGGGACCTGCCTGCTTTTCCCAACCGCCTGTGACTCACCCAGTGGACCCGCCCCTCCTCAGCTCTGAGCCGCTCCGCAGACCCCGGCGGTTACAGGATTAGGCCCCGGGCCTGGGTGCGGCCGGTCCGGAGGCCTGAGCAGTGAACCGGGTGTGGGCGAACCGAGTCCAGCTAGCAAAACCAACTAGCCCGTGGGAGGCCTGCGCACAGCCTTACCACTCAGGCACCGGGAGGAGCCACAGGGGATGGTCTGAATTAAAATGACTGAAAGCCCGTCAAGGCTGGCAGGCCCTGCGCTGGGCCAGAGTCTTCCAGCAAGAGAAAGTCCACCTTTGCCCAGGTGGGGCCACTCTGCGTCTTTCCACATCTCCGGGAACGCAGCTTTGGGGTGGCGGGTCATTTCCCTTTTTTCCAAACGCCTGGGGCACAAGCACCTCACCAACCACACCCCCAACCACTCACGGAGCAGAGTCACAAATGCCCTCGGTGTTACTGTCTCCAGGTTCGGGGCTGACTGGTACCTGTCCAGGGCCCGCCCGCGTGAGGGAGGCTGTTGTCTACCAGTGCCCCCTTCCCCCGGCCCCAGAGGTTTCCCGCCCCTGTGCTTCCTCCCGCCCCCCTAGCCCTCCACCAGTGGGTTTCACGTAACCCCCTCCTGTCTCCTTTGCGGACTGCGAGGTGTAACGTAAGGTGCAAACCTGCCATTTTCTGGAGCATTTTCTCGGTCCGCCGAGGTTCTGCGTCTCTGCAATTGTCATCAGCTCGGCTCCAATCCACTCATAAACGTTCTCCCAGGTTTGGCCGTTTCTGACGGCGACAAGCGGAAGACAGGGGGAGGGCTCCTCTGGGCCTCTGCACAGGTCAGGAGCGCGCCAAGGGTGGGGTCTGGGTCAAGTTTGGGTCCCCCCCCCCCCCGGGCGGCCTCTCTCCTCTCCCCAGTGGTGGGCACAGAAGTGGAGGCATAGGTCACCGGGTCAGCCTGCAGGGCCCCCACTGCCTGCCCACTGTGGAGGCAGGGGGAGAGCCTGGGTAGAACTTGGGGGCCAGGGCGTGGGTTGGCACTTAACAGCACCAGCCAGGGTGACCGCGGCCAGTGCTCTTTGGACATGTCACTCTCTTCCAGGTTTCCTGCCTCAGTGTGGCCCCGCTGGGGGTCACTGGGGAAGAGGGAGGGACGAATTCCACGCACGCATCCCTCTTAGAGTGAGGTCCCAGGGCCAGGGGGCAGATCCTCTCAGCCAGGGGGTGGAGCCTCCCAAAGCGATCGCAGCCCTGCTGTTCTCAGCGAGCCTGGGGGGTGGGGGGCAGGGTCCGACCTTGGGGGCCCTCCAGCCCGCCGGAGTAAGCGGCCAGCAGAGGACGGCCAGTTTCCCAGTGTGGAAGAAAAGGGGCCCCGTGTTAGCCTGACAAGCCCCGGGGAGGCCGGGTCCCAGGGAGGGCAGCGAGGAAAAGAGACTGGGGCAACGGAGGGGGACCTCTGTCGCAGGGGAACAGACTGGGCTCGGACCCCACAGAACCCAGTCTCCCCTGTGGGAGCTTCGTTACCGCTCCTGCACTGCGTCAGGTGCGCGCGCCGAGATCGGAGCCCTGGAGGGTGGGTCCGGGGCAGAAGCGGTGCTACCGGACACCTCCTCCCGCCGCAGCGCGTAGAGCGCACAGTGCGTGTTCCCTCCGTTCCCTCCGTCCTAACACGGCCCGTCTCTCACTCCCCTCCGCTCCGGGTGCTGTCCCTGGGTTTACCCCAAGGGCCACCATCTCGAGAATACACAGATGTATCAGCAGGGATTTTGTACGGGCTGGGGCGTTCTTTTTCAGGAGAGCAATCGCTTTCATGAGAGGTTAATTATTTTGAAAAAAGTTGATTCCCCGGTTGGGGATGCCCTCGGGGTCGGTGACTGAGGGGCTCCATTACAGGCAAACGATCCGATCCGTGTGTAACGTCTGGCCTAGTGTACGGTGTTTCCCTCGTGCCCGCCTGTCACCCCCAGGTCTCTGGATGGGTAGAACACACCAATGATACGAGGAAAACTCAACCGGGCACCTTTTCAGAGGTTTTTCTCCTCCCGTGGCCGAAAGCTCTCCATGTGGGGCCTTTCCCCGTATGACGCAGTCACCGGCCGCCCTGGGAACCCGGAGGGAGGGGCGGATGACTCGACTTCACTGAAAGGAGACATCCTGCACTATTATTACTAAGCGCTCCTTGGCCCGCTGATAGGGACCGATGCATTAGTAACACTACAGGGACTAATAGATTAGTAACCTTTCACCGGATGACAAAGACGTCAAAGACCACAACTTATCACCGGGAGACTTTTGTCCACCGAGAAAGACATTGCAGACTCCCTAGCACGGTCGGAAGGGACCTACTCGGGGCCTAAGGGCACGAGGACGTGTGCCCCCGTCTCTGACACTGGCCTCCACCTTCGGCAGAGATCAAGGACTTTTCGGGGACGAGACGCCGCGGACCACGAAGGCGGACAGCTGTCCCAGGCGGCCGCAAGGCCTGCACGCTCGCCAGCGGCAGCTGCTGCTGGCTGAGCGGGCACGGGGCGACTTTTATTCTTATTGTCCTCCTTGCAGCCTCCTGAGGGAAACTGTGTGTCTCCCCAGACCCCTCCCTCGTTAGACACGAAAAACTTAACTTGGGCCCTGGCTGGCGAAGCTCAGTGGATTGAGCGCGGGCTGCGAACCAAAGCATCGCAGGTTCGATTCCCAGTCAGGGCACATGCCTAGGTTGCAGGCCACGGCCCCCAGCAACCGCACATTGATGTTTCTCTCTCTCTCTCTCTTTCTCCCTCCCTTCCCTCTCTAAAAATAAATAAATAAAATCTTAAAAAAAAACACAACTTAACTACCTGCTACTCTCCCATCTACCAGACAATGACACTGTAGGTATTGGTTAGGATAACAAAGTCAATGGTTTGTCAGCTGCACGTAGGGCTTCTCCTTCTATCAATACAAGCTTTGGTACATTTTTTCCAGGATGTGTCTATAAGGAAGGACCCATTTCGGGGAAATCCTCCAAGAACACGCCCCTCACCATCCCCCTGGTGGAATCACACAGGGACTCACCTAGGTGAGTGTTGCGTCGCTATAGAAACGGATGACAAAGCCGCCTGGACGTGCAGACGAAAAATCCGGGATGCGGTGGGACAGGCTCGCAGCGACCTGCCCTGTCTGTCACGGCGTGTCTCGTCCTCAGACTCACCAGGCCGTGGCTGGGTGTCTGTGAAAGAAGGACAAATTGCATCAGTGGGCCCCCATTTCCGAAATTATGACGAGACACTCGTGGAGGGTGCACGGTTGGCCGGGACGCCTGGTCCCCACAGGCGCTGCCTTGTCCGCTGTTGGTCGGGCTCCATCCGGCCCGGCGCTGCTGCGGGGTTAGTGCTGCTGCTCCCGCCCCTCCTGTGGAACTGTTACACCAGATGCAGAAAAACGGGAGACACGCAGTGAGAAGACCCGGGTCATGGTAGCTCAAAGATTAGAGATGATGCAGAATAATTTTTTTTACAATTTTATTTGTTTTTAGAGAGAGGGGAAGGGAGGGAGAAAGAGAGGGAGAGAAACATCAATGGGTGGTTGCCTCTCACGCCCCTTACTGGGGACCTGGTCCGCAATCCAGGCGTGTGCCTTGACTGGGAATTGAACCATTGACGCTTTGGGTCACAGGCCCATGCTCAACTCCAGCAGGACAGGGACAGCTGTCACTCACAGCCAGCTGGGCAGAGTGAGGGGTCAGTGGGTGGCAAGTGACTAAGAGGAGACATCCAGGGTACAGGGTGGGGGTTCTTGCCAAAGGCAGGCCATGGACTTACACGTCAGGGTGCGGGTCACACGGGTGCGGGGAGGTGGCTGGGCCTGGCTGGCTGAGGACGGGGAGCTGGCTGAAGTGAGCTCCGGGACAGAGTCCATCACACCCAGCTCCCAGAGCCGCTGGGTGAAGACGGGCCTGGGGCTGCCGCCGCCGGGGCGGCTGCCTTACCTGGGCCTTGCATTGCCGGGAGGGGCCGGCGCATGCCCGGGGGAGGCGCTGCTGGGAGAGGACAGGCCGGTGCCCGCGGTGGTCTGACCCACCCTCACAACCTCCCTCCCCACCTCTTTGCTAAAACAGAGAAGGCTGAGCCCTGGCTGGTGTAGCTCAGTGGATTGAGTGCGGGCTGCGAACCAAAGCATCGCAGGTTCGATTCCCAGTCAGGGCACATACCTGGGTTGCAGGCCACGGCCCCTAGCAACCGCACATGGATGTTTCTCTCTCTCTCTCTTTCTCCCTCCCTTCCCTTTCTAAAAATAAATAAATAAAATCTTTTTAAAAAAGAGGATGCTTCTTTCTAACTCATTCCAGAAGCCAAGGCAGGCTCCCTCAAAGAAAGGCCCGTGTTGGTGGGGTCTTTGCAGGGTCTGCCGAGCGGCCGGGACATCCCTGGCAGCACGAGCGCAAACAGGCGGGAACGCCGGTTCGAGTCCTGGGCCAGCAGGGAGCCAACGTCCCGCCCTAGGTGTTTGTGCCTCTTTTAAATAAAAAAAAATCCA